TCAACCAAAAATTATTCAGCTGTTAAATTTAAGTACACAATTAGATAATACCAATTTAGATCAAACAATTACCAAGCAATGCTTAATTTTGTTCAGTCTGTGGTGTAAAAAGGTTGCATTAGGTCACAGTTTACTTTATTTTGCTATACTCACTTACATAAATGAAATATAGTGTCCTGCACCCACTAGTAAAAAAATATAAAAAATTATATCTGGTGTCTGAATAATTTTTGGTTTGACTGTGGATTCATTCTTGTTAAAACTACAAAGTAATTCAGTCAAGAGCATACTCTCTAAGACGGGTATTTTGACATAATTTTGTATGTATTTGTCGGTACAAGAGCAAGAAGAGGCAAATTTCGGTGTTCAAGCGCTTTGAGACGCGCCTCTCTGCGTGCGCCCTGTGCGCACAGAACACCGTGTGCGGGTGCTGAATTGGGCTCTTTCACGTCTTTTTCTGTTTGCATGTACTGATTTGTTGCGCAAGAAACAATTCTTGTTATTATTAGCAATGTTGAAAACAGTTGTGCTGCTTAATATTTTTTTTTGTGGGAACCATAATAACCTTTTTTTCCAGAAAGTTCAAAAGAACAGTGTTTATTTTAAATATAAATCTTTTGTATCATAATAAATGTCTTTACTGTCACTTTTGATCAATTTAATGTATCCTTGCTGATAAAAAAAAAAAAAATTTACTGACCCCAAACGCTTAAACGGTAATGTGTGTTACATTTCCATTTGTTATTTACACCAGGCACACCGAGTGAAAGGCACACCACCTTTCACTTTGAGCAAGGAACCAACATTTTTGACACATTGTTTTATATCAGACATAATTAAACAGATTCTGCCAAATAAATGTCTCAGATTTCCCCTGTGCTCAGTATTAATTTTTTATTCATGAATTTCAATCCCCAACTCTCTCAAAATAAATTGTTCCTTCTTCTTTAAGATGAATCATTCATGTTGTTGTATTCCTCATTTTTAAAATCACTTTACATAAAGGTGTCTGCTAAAAGAAGAAATGTAAATGCAAAGCAGAATTCAAAGAAGACAAGGTTTTGGCTGGATCCTGCACTTGTTTGGAATCAGTAAAAATTGCAGACAGTTCAAAACCTTTTATCTGAATTTTTCACCAAGTGGAGAAAGGACAATAGTGTTTGATCTTTTTCTCCAGAGTCTGAGGTGGGAGTTGTTGTGCAGTTGGCCATGAGAAATATCACACAGCAAATCATCAGAAGCGATGCAAATGCAATGACAGTTTCCCTCCATTTGAAGTGAGCATAAGGCTCTCTCAGTGGGAGTTGCCCCCCTTCCACGAGCATTTCCATATCATGATACGCATGTATATGTTTTTTGTGACACTGTATTTCATGGCTCAGTGTATTTGAAGATGGATACTGAGTGGATTTTAGCCTGTAACTAATCCATCTATTTCCTGTTTGTTTCACTGTTTTTGTCCAGGGTCTTCACGATGAATGTCAGTACCTCTTTCAGCCTCAGCTCATTGTTCAGAGGCTCATTGGGATTTCAGTGCTGTATCCTGGTTACTTCATTGACCAGATGATTCCTCTTCACAATAGATCTGTACTCTACAAGTGAGTGATTATTTCTAAGATGAAATTAAGATGCAATATATCCACACACACACACACACACACACACACACACACACACACAAAATCAACAAAAATTCAAAAATTATAGGAATAGTTTACGCCAAAAGGAAAGTCTGTTGTCAGTCAGTTTTTTTCCCCCTAAAAGATTACTACTTTTATCAATACTTTTATTCAGCAAAGGTGCATTAAACTCAATAAAAGTGACAGTAAAGACATTTACAAATAATTTATATTTCATATAAATGCTGTTCTCTTGAACTTTCTATTCATCCTGAAAAAATGTATGATGGTTTCCACAAGAATATTAAGCAGCGCAACTATTTTCAACATTGTTAATAATAAGAAATGTTTCTTGAGCACCAAATTAACGTATTAGAATGATTTCTAAAGGATTGAGTGACACTGACAATTTAGCTTTGCCATAACTAAAATACATTTTAAAATATATTAAATAGAAAACAGTTTTGCTGTATTTTTGATCAAATAAATGCAGCCTTGGTGAACACTTCTTTTAAAAACATAAAACAATTTTACCACCCCAAACTCGGAACGGTGAACGGTGGTGTAATCACCCACATGTTATTTCAAACACTTAAATAAAACCATCTTTCAAAATTGTGAGCATTTCTACTCTGTTGTCATCTTTGCAGACTTTCACACATCTTTCCTGATCAGACACACGAACGCACACACCGTGCAAGTCTCTCACCTTTTCTCTCCCTCATTCTGCTCTCAACACTTTACCATTCCACACACATCCTTTTCTCAAGCCTCCCTCCATTTCAGGCTTCTACTCTCATTAGGTTCAGATATTAAAGCTCTCCTCTCAATTAGCAAATAAAGTCTTTCTAAATGAAAAAGAGGAAAATGGAGGAGGGAGAGGTGATGAAATGCATTCATAAACAACAGGGTACACAGAAAAGACCTTGAGCACTGGACATTATGAAGATGGGCTTTTTTGTATCATTAAAAGCTGGTTTTCAGCAGTGACACTTAGGCAGCTGCTGTTTAATGGATGTCTGGATATTAGTATACACTATTTTATAGCATATATAGGATATCTGCCACATGAAATACTGTGTAGGAAGAAATAGGAATCATCTTATATGTAATAAAATCTAGTGGACTATGTTAAATATAGTTATTATGCATAGCTCTTGTTATTTTGTTTGTCAATTAAATAAGAATTTGTAATATTCATAATAGGACATACTATTTATTCAGTTGTGAAATATAAAACAGTACTGTGTAAAATTGGAAGAAGGGATAAATTAACCATGCAATAAATGATTTTTTTAAAATTTCAAAGACCAAGTTCATATTCCAAAACACTTTTTTCCCGAAGCGATCCAGCAGATCTGTAAACAACTTGTGTTCTGTTTGATTGGGCATTTGGTGTGCTGCTCATATTGTTAATTATCAAAAACCAAAAGACAAAGCCAATTGTGTCATGGCCAAAAATGTAGATATTATTTATTTATTCTAACTTCACAGTTGTTCTCCATCTCTGTTCAAACTGAAAAGGGCGACTTGCATTTGTTTCCTGATTAGTTGTTATTGATGTAGAAAATTAAGACGGAGAGATATCACTTAATTGCTGTATGCATTTTCAACAAGTTTGTTATAATAGGCTGAAGTTTAAAGTTCTCCTGAGAGTACAAAAACACATTCCTGTTTAAATGCTTCCTTGGCATTTCGATAAGCATACTAGTATTGTTATACTGCATCTCATGAGACAATGTCTACAGTCAGTGTAGCTTTCAAGCAGATGTCCTCTACATTTCTTTCCCTTGTACCTGGCAGAGTGTTCATCCCAAACTACATCTCGCGGGTGAAGGTACAGCTTGTGGACTGCAATACAAAGAACAGAAGCGGGGAGAGCTGTCCGGTTCTGCTGAAGATCCGCTCAAGGGCCCCGCCGGTGCATAACTCCAGCGCTATGGACTGCAGAGAGAACGTTCCCTGTGAGCTGGAGGTCCCGCTGCCATCCTGGGAGCAGTGGTACTATATTTTGGTGGAGCGTTACCTCAGTAGCTCAGATGTCTACTTTCGTATTGGCATTCAGGTTAAAGGTAAGAACTTGTTTTAAATTCTAATTGGTATTGGGTTAATCATAGTTTCATAATCAATCTGATCATTCCTTCCTCCACAACAATCACTCTGTATTCTCTATTTCTTTCTGATTCTGTTGTCTAGGGCTTTTCAAAGCCTTTAGCTCTGTATGAACATACAATAGCCCCAAAAACTATTTGGACACTTGTGAATCCTAAAAAAAACGTCTGAATTTCTGCAAACAATTTATGAGGTTTTTTTTTTCTTTCTTAACTTTCATTTTCCTTTTCTTTTTTCAAAGTGATTTTAGTGAATGTGTGAAGTTCTCCTCTAGTTCACACAGATATATCATACTGAATGTGTTCCACAAAATTTGACAACCAGAATATACATTGTGTCTTAGTTTTTAAAAGCATATCTATTGTTTTATACTTTGATCCATATACATTTTTTAAATATTTTTTTAGTAATATTTATGATTGTTTTGCTTAAAAAGTCAAAACATATTACATTATATTTCCTTAAAATGTTATTGTCCAAATATTTTGGGTCAGTATTTTTGATAACATATGTAACATTCTTGGTAAGTAAATTACTATTATCACTATTAACAAGTTGCTTATTAGCATGCCTATTATTAACATATTGGCTTATAAAGCACATATTCTGCATGACCATATTCTACATCCCTAGTCCTACCCAATACCTAAACTTAACAACTACCTTACTAACTATTAATAAGCAGCAAATTAGGAGAAGTAAATTACTATTATCACTATTAACAAGTTGCTTATTAGCATGCCTATTATTAACATATTGGCTTATAAAGCACATATTCTGCATGACCATATTCTACATCCCTAGTCCTACCCAATACCTAAACTTAACAACTACTTTACTAACTATTAATAAGCGGCAAATTAGGAGTTTATTGAGGCAAAAGTCATAGTTAATGGTTTGATAATGGCGAGAATTGGACCTTAGAATAAATTGTGAACATATTTTTTAGCAAGTTAATAATGTTAATCAGCAATGATGCAAAACTGTTTTCAGCATAAGAAATGTTTCTTGAGTACCATATCAGCATATTAGATTAATTTGTAAAGGATCATGATCATCTTAAAAATTCAGCTTTGTCTGAATAAATTGATATTTTTTGCAATATTACTATTTGACTGTATTTTTGATTAAATAAATGTAGCCTTGAAAATAAGAGAAGTCTTTTTAAAAACAAAAATACAGTAAATAGTAACCGACCTCAAACTTAGAGTAGTGCACAGTAAATGTCACTTGATTTGGTATGATATAATGAATGACATTTATTCATGAAAACTTACAAGTACATTTCTTTGGGTCCACTGTGTGTATAATGTTTACATCATCTGTTAATCTGCAACAGGTAGAATTTAAGGCAGTAATCCATATTGTAATGAACCCATAATACAGTACAATCAATGTTTTGGTGTTCTGACATATCATTTACCATGGGCTTTCCGCCGGCAACATAAAATCACACTATGAATAGGCCCACCTGGTACCATATTTTCCAGCCAGTGTTTGGGGGCACGTTACTGGATGCCAATACATTCTCTGATTCATTGATGGCCTGTAGTGCTGTAGGTTGCGACAATCCCAGCAGACTCCAGTGGAAATATTTTAGTCCAGCACAAATGAGAGGGCAACAGCTTGCAGTTTTAATCCGGGCTTCATTAATTCTTCATTGGGATTTATCATTACAAATATTACAGACATATGGCTCCTAGTCACTGTTTGGTTTGAGCATTGCGAAGAATTGCATTTGAGCATATTAAAGCTACCTGGAATGCATTCTGACTTCACTGCTGGAAGGGTTTTTACAAAGGCAGGTGTTCTCATGGCCCAGGTGGAGTTGGGAAATTAAAGTGTGTTTAGAGAGAGACAGGCTTTGTTATGAATCTCTGTGACAAATTGGAACCTCGGTGGGCTCAGATGAGGACCCTGTCATGGATTGGAGCCTCCGCCTTTTATTCTGCCTGATGTTAAAATGAAGTGTTGATGAATTTCGTACTTTTCCGTGTCTTGAGTCCTCGTGATAAATATGGCATTTGGGCTGCTCGCAAAGTGTGAAATAGACGGGGGACTCAATTCGGTCACATGGACCGTATTATTGCAGCATCGGGAAGTTGCACGCTCACTTTAAAAGACTCGATTTGAGTCAGATTTGCTCATTCTGCTTAAATCTGAACGTTGTTTCAAATTACACAGCTGTTGTTTACGGTACGCGCATATGACCTGATTTTCCCAGAATGTCTGATTGGATCTCAATTTTAGAGCATTAAAATATTATCACTAACAACTTTAATGACTTTCCTGTCAAAAAACACCTCCAGTTTACAAGGTCAAAATTGAACTTCCCTCCTCACAAGAGTTAGCAAAAATCCCCCACTCTGCTTCTATCAAATCTACCTGGTTCTCTCATTTTGTGTGAGGTTTCTCTGTTCGTCTGTTCCCCTGTTTTTCCTCCACGTCCTGCGGTGTAGCAGAATCCCGGCCTTTGTTACAGCCTTGATGCCAAGGGATGTTGCCGCTGATGGCTCGGTAAGAGGGGATGAAGAGGAGGGCCATTGATGTTCAATGAGGCTGAACAGTCTCAGACCAGCTTAGATAAAGCACTCACAGGGGGAAACAATTGGCCATGATGAGACGGTGTACCTGCGGAGAGCATTATCTGTGCGCGTAAGGAGCGGAAAAAGGAAAAACCTGTCTAGCAAGGACTTATTGCAGTGCCGTTCTGTCACATTCAATGCTGAGAGTAAATTTTGTCACTTCAGACTATTTGCCGCATTCATAAAGGAGGAACGAAATCCCTTTTGCTCGATGAATTTGGGCTGTCAAAAGATTAAAACATTACAATAGATTAAAAACATCACAATTTTAGTTTTTTTGTTGTTGCAGATTTCAGTTCAATTCAATTTGTTTAATAGGAATTGTTATTACAAAGTTATTAGGAATAGATTTGCAAGTAATCTCACATTTTCTCATTCCTTTTTAATGCATTCAGTCCTTTTTTTCATGAAATATCAACATAAAAAGTACCAAAGATTTGTACTACTAGCCTACAGCAGTCCATGGGTTTTTCTGCATTAACAGTGTATTTGCTCCAAGGTGATTTTTCATATTTGTTGTTGATTAAATTCTTCCATGCAAAGATTGCAGATGAATATAAAAAGTATAACAGTCACAGTGCAGGTAAAGTGAGACAATATTTTGTCACTGTCTTTGTTCTTAAAACATGATCCAAATGGGCACATCAATGTCAATGCACACTAATTTCAGATGAAGTTAATGCAGATTTATAGTAATGGAAGAATGTACACGTAATGATGGATGATTATGATTAAGTATTCCACTATACCCGTGTTCACCCTTCATTAGTACCACTTATTACTAAACGTAGCTAATCCAGTGACCCGAGAGCACTGCAATCAAGGTAACTATTAGACATTATCTAACACTGTCATTCATTTCTCCTCTATGCTATTTTTCACCAGTTGTGATGGTCAATACCCTGCATCACATGACCTTGTAGTATCACCTGTGTCTGAAGGTTTTGGTCAGCGTTTCTGTCAGCCTTAATTCAATTATTCTGAACCTAGCTCCCCTTTCCTTGATCAATTTCTCTGAACTGCAGATACTGGCTGGCTGCCATCCCTCTCCCATCTCCCAAGGCGGTATGACCCTTCATGTCCTTCCTTTGCCGTTTCTCTACACCATTCAGTTCTCTTGATATTCTTAATGGAGAGAATAGATTGTTTATAAGTTCAACAAGAACCATCTGGAGTTGCTGTGTGTGTGGAATTCATTTCCTTGTGTTTATTGATAAGACAAAAAAAACAAAAAAACTAAACTAAACTGATTAAAATTCTGATTTTATACGGTCGTCTGATGAACTCAACTACTCTTATGGTGTAACCTAAACGATTATGAAATGACTGTATTACTGTACCAGTAGACGTCTTAAAAAGATTACAATTTTTTTACTTTTTATTATAGTGATGTGAAATTGGGCAATGGATTTGTTTCAGTAGACACTGAATATTATTCTCGTAATGGCTTTGATGTATGGTCATTCTTCTCTCTGTGAGATACAATAATTTCTTCATCATCCGAGTGAGTCATATCCAGAACAAAACAAACAGAAACAGACAGAAGTTAGACAGTGAGCATTGTTCCATAGTATGTTGTTATTTTGTAGGAATGTTGTTGAGGTCTATATCTGCTAAAAAAGACATGTTGTGGATGTTCAGTTGATCTTTTATATCAGGCCTGTCAAACACATGACTAGTAGAGGGGTCAAACTTGGACTGAAGGATGATTTGAAGGGGGAAATTAAATTATGCTGAAAACATTCCCGTTCACTTATTTCCATAATAAATATTAATTCATACTCTGATAAATTAGATTTAGTAATTTCCATGTGCTCCCTTTTGTTTTACACCAAGTTCTGTGGCTGGTTGTATAAAGTCTTACAGGGTAGTCATCTATTTTTTTTCTTTTAGTCGTGACTATTTTAAGTTAGTTACATAAAAACAGAATGGTTTTAATTTGAATCTAAAAGGTATATTACCTCTAAGCTAAATGCTAGTTGGTTAAACTTCTTTTTAAGACAAAGTCTTAATATAGTGGCTATGTTTATTCAGTTGGCCCTGGACTTTAATTCAGAAGTGTGTTGTGCGTATTCTAGGTTTTTCAAATATAAAATTGACATAAGGTGCACATTTAGTTCACTCTGGCCAGTGTAAACCAATAAATTGTCATTTTACAAAAATGTCCAATCTTGAATTAGTTTGACACCCCTGTCTTAGATAATCCTCTTTGGTTTTTCTTTCCTTTTATAGTAGACTAGCTCGATCTAATCACCAAGCATGATTTTACGTAGTTGTACAAAGCAGTAATACTGTAGTAGTAGTAATAGCAGTACATGGTAGTAGCTCATGGTGCTGCAGTTTGAGACAGTTTTTTTAAATTTTTTTCCAAATGT